TGTCTGTGCCCCGCTGGGAGTTCCTGTATATTTTTCAAAGGAGGTCATCTCATTTTTAGTTTATTTAAAGGCAGAGGAGAGGAGTGAGCTCCCTTCTGCCGGGTCACTCTCCAGATGCCTGCAGGAGCTGGGGCTGGGCCAGGTGGAGGCCGGGAGGTGGGAGCTCCATCCGGGGCCCAGGCGCTTGAGTGTCGCTGCTGCCTCCCAGGGTGTTCAGGACGCAGGTTTGTGCTGGTGAGGAGGTGAGGCGTTTGTGAGACAGGGCCAAGGGGCTGCCCTGTGGTGCAGTGAGTTAACACCCTGGCCTGCAGTGCTGGCATCCCATATGGGCTCCAGTTCCTGTCCCAGCTGCTCCACTTCTGATCCAGCTCTCTGCTGTGGCCCAGGAGGGCAGTGGAGGATGGCCCAAGTGCTTGGGTCCCTGCACCCGTGTGGGAGACCTGGAGGAGGCTCCTGGCTCCTGGGGGGGTCTCGGCATCTGCTGGGACCCCTTTCTTTCCTCCGCTCCTTGACCTCCAGGAGGGCTGTGTGCCCACCCTCCCCAGCCTCCGACACACATGGCACCAGCCCAGACGACCTCCTCTGGGGCTCCCCACCCGGCCTGGGCTGCGGCCTGCACTCCACACCCCACCTCCGGGACCCTGGCATAGGCAAGGCCACGCCCCACCCTACCACCCCTGTGCCCATGCATTCCCGGTAGCCTCTGTGGCGGCAGCCAGTGTGAGCGCAGCTGAGTAGGGTGAAGACCTACTGTGTGCCCTGTGCGCCATCAGCGCTGTAACAGCCCGTGCGGCTTTGGGGCTTTCCCACGTTCCTGGCCTGGGTCTGTGGGCGGGCGCTGGACCAGGGCAGAGGGAGAGCAAGTGCCGGGGTGCAGGGGGCCAGCGGGGCAGGGGCTGGGGCCCCTCCTCCTGCGTTCCGGGGCCCTGGGTGGCTCGCAGGCCTCCTCAGCTCCTCATTCTTTGAGTCCTCTATCAGAGCTGATGGATGAAGCAGCGATGGTGCTGGGGGGTGGGGGTGGGCCGGGGGAGGGCCTGGTGTGTCTGGGGGATCTGGCAGAGGGTTCTAAGATGCAATTCACTTAACATAGATCTGACGATGTTTAAAGTGTACAGTGGAGTGATATTCTGTACGTCACAGTGTCCGGCCACTGTCACCTCTGGTTCCAGAATACTCTCACCCCCCAACCCCCAAAGGAGCCCCGCCCCCTGGCAGCCCCGCCCCCAGCCCCCTGGCAGCCCCTCGATCCCTAGACTTGCCTGTTCTGGACACTTCCCGCCCAGGGAGCCCCACGCGTGGCCAGCTCGCACGGTCCAGGGCAGCCGCAAGCCCCGCTCTGCTCTCCCCACAGCATGGCCGACAAGAACAGGGCCCTTAAGTGCAGCTGCTCGGCGCCGGGCCACAGCAGCAGCCTCCTGCAGGGCCTGGCCGCCCTTCACGCGCAGGGCCAGCTGCTGGACGTGGCCCTCACCGTCAACAGAGAGGCTTTCCACGCGCACAAGGTGGTGCTGATGGCCTGCAGTGACTGCTTCAGGGCCATGTTCATGGGCGGCATGCGGGAGGTGAGCCAGGACGTCATCGAGCTTAAGGGTGTGTCAGCCCGCGGCCTGCGCCACATCATCAACTTTGCCTACAGCACCAAGGTGACGTTGGACCTGGGCTGTGTGCAGGACGTGCTGGGCGCCACCGTGTTCCTGCAGATGCTGCCCGTGGTGGAGCTCTGTGCAAGGAGTTCCTCAAGGCGATCTTGAGCGTGGAGACGTGCCTGCACATCGGCCAGATGGCCACGGCCTTCAGCCTGGCGTCGCTGTGCGAGTCTGTGGACGCCTTCACGTTCCGCCACTTCCTGCAGATCGCGCGGCAGGACGACTTCCTGCACCTACCGCTCGAGAGCCTGGTCTTCTGCAACGAGGTCGACCTGTTCCGCAACGCCGTGTGCTGGCTGCAGCACAACCCCGCGCGCCAGCCACATGCTGCGCCACATCCGCTTCCCGCTCATGCAGGCGGCGGAGCTGGTGGACAGCGTGCAAACTCTGGACATCATGGTAGAGGACGCGCTGTGCCACCACTACCTGCTCGAGGCCCTCAACTACCAGGTGCTGCCCTTCCTGCAGCACGAGATGCAGTCGCCGCGCATGGCCGTGCCCTCCGATGTGCCCTCGCTCGTAGCCTTCGGCAGCACGCCCTACACCTACAGCGACAGCGCCGTCAGCGGCAAGGTGTACCAGCTGGCGGAGCCCGGTGCACGCCACTTCCGCGAGCTCAAAGAGATGGAGCTGGCCTGCAGCCACACGTGTGTGGTCGTACTCGACAACTTCGTGTACGTGGCCGGCGGCCAGCACCTTCAGTACTGCAGCGGCGAGGGCACCTTGGACCCCTGCTACCGCTACGAGCCGCAGCGCAACCACTGGCTGCGCCTGCAGGCCATGCAGGAGAGCCGCATCCAGTTCCAGCTGAACCTGCTATGCGGCATGGTGTACGCCACGGGTGGCCGCAACTGCGCCGGCAGCCTGGCCTGGGTCGGGAGGTACTGCCCGCGCCGCAACGAGTGGGGCTATGCGTGCTCGCTCAAGCGCCGCACCTGGGGCCACGCAGGCGCCGCTGCCGCCGGGGGCCGCCTCTACATCTCGGGCGGCTACAGCGTCTCAGTGGAGGACAAGAAGGAGCCGCACTACTACGACCCTGTGGCCGACCAGTGAGAGTTCAAGGCGCCCATGAGCGAGCCGCGCGTGCTGCACACCACGGTGGGCGCCGGCAGCCTCATCTACGCCCTGGGCTGCCGCATGGTCCACGTGGACTGCTGCTTCAACGAGCTGGCCATCCAGTACTACGTGCCCGAGACGGACCAGTGGACCAGCGTGAGCCCCATGCGTGCCAGCCAGTCAGAGGCCGGCTGCTGCCTGCTGGAGCGCAAGATCTTCATCGTGGGCGGCTACAACTGGCACCTGAACAACATCAGGGGCATCGTGCAGGTCTACAACACCGACACGGACGAGTGGGAGTGCGACCTTCACTTCCCAGAGTCCTTAGCAGGCATCGCCTGTGCCCCGGTGCTGCTGCCGCGGACCGGCGCCAGGAGGTAGCCCCCAGGTCCGGACCTCCCTCACCCACCCCCTCCGGACGCCCACCCGCCTGGCCTCTCAGAGGGTGCCTCAGGCGGGCAGCTTGGCCAGCGCATGCGCAATGAGAGCTCCACCTCCCCTGCTGGCTCGGGGTCGGGGGTGGGGTCCCTCCTGGGCAGCGTTCTCTCTGGCCTTCCTCCTCCCTTCCCGAAGGGAGGATTTTCCCCCTGCCTGCCCTGCGGGGCCCCAGCTGGAGGGCGGGGACGCGGTGCCTGGTGGTGGCTTTGCGCGGCTTGGCCTCGCTCCTCTCCCCGCCTCCACCCCGGCCTGCACCTGAGCGTGCTGAAGCTGAGCCCGGATCTCTAGGATGCAGCTCCCCCACCCCAGCCAACCAGCATGAATCCCCGCGTGCACCCCGCGGCAGGGGCCCCGGCAGCCCTGCCGGGCCCTCCTTGCTGGGAGGGCGACCCGCGCCGCAGTTCCCTGGCTGACCTCCCTGTCCCGGCCCCCACCCCGCCGGGGACAGCTGCAGCCCCCTTTGTCTGAGGTCTGAGCCTTGGAACCTTGGCTTTTTTGTGATGTTCTCTTTTTTTTTCTTTTTAAGAAGCCGGCAGCCGCCATCTTCCGAATGGGTTTTGTACTCTCATGGCTCGTGGACGATGGATGCCGCGCCTCTTGACCCCACTGGCCGTGTAGCGAATTAACTTCGGGCATCAGCGGACGGCGCCGCCGAGCACTTCCCGTTTATTTAATAAAAATGCTATGGTGAAGAAAAAAAAAAACAGAAAGAAAGGAACCCAGGGCTGCAGGTGAGTCAGGAGGAGCTTTGGAAGAATGTCACCCCTGCCTTCACCCCGTGGCTGTCATGGCTCAGCCAACTTTGGCTTGCTTTGCATTATGCCCTCAAGGAGTGGGAGGGGGACAGTGAGGCAGCAGGTTTGCCCCATTTGCCAAGTTGTGTCAAGGTGCATGGCTCCCTCTGGAGGCACTGAGCTACCTAGCATGCAGTCGAGACTGAAGAAGGGCCAAGTGGTAGAGGGAAGTGCTGGGATAGGCGGAAGGGGGAAGCTAGCTCAGGGAAATTTTTAAGCTTTTTGATAACTGTTAAGGACCATACTCAAATGGAGACTTGATTTGGGGAGGTGCTTTGGTTTTACTTTTAAGAGAAGCATAGAATGCCTCCCTTATATGCTTAAAAATATTTAAAAACATCATGTTTAGATACTGCTGAGGGTCCTGGGCTCAAGGTCTGAAGTACAGTGAGTAAGTTGAGAGCTAGTGGTGCCGGTGGAGGCTGGTGGGAGAGGGCGCCGCAGGTGAAGATGGCTGCCTCTAGTGAGAGCGAGGGGCTCCTGCTGCTGAGTCAGCAGCCTTCCCACATTGTTTGCTGAAAGAAAAGCGGACCTCATCTCCCTGGGGGCCTGTCCTACCCCTATACCGGGGTGTATTTTCTCCCTGAGGACTTGTTTCCCACAGAGCCTTGTTTGGTTGCAGTAAAGCACCAGGTTTTAGAAATCGACCCCAGGAGTCAGTTGCCTAGCTGTAACTCTGGAAGTCCCATGGACATTCAGAAGGTGTGTGATCCTGGTATTTTTCCCAACTGAGGGATTAGGGCTTGTCATTCTGTGGTCCACAAAGGCAGTGACCCTCTCACATGACAAGCATGGCCAAAAATCCCTCCTGGCTCTCAGCCTGTGGAGGGCTGGCTCCCCCTCCTGGTGGCCTGTGTAAGGCTGCCTTTTTTTTTTAACCAAAGGATTAAGTGTGCTGTATTATCATGAGTAAGGACATTGCACTGCAGTAGTAAGCATGTCATCGATACATAGAATATTCTATCTTCAGAACACAGGTACAAAATAAGTTATCCTTGCTTTGTTTCCCATCACAGGAGGAGCACAGCATACAACGTGAGTGAACAGAGTGGCCAGGGAGCAAGCCAGGGGAGAGGCCATGGAGGGGGCTGTAGGGCACTGAGTGTGGCGGGGATTTGCCCAGGACAGGTCAGAGTCCTTGGGGACGCCACAGGGAAGGAGACCCCAGACCTCTCCAGTTAGCCTGCTGCGAACAAGCACAAAGTCCCACCTGATCCAAGAGCGGTGGCCGTGTGGGAGTTGGGCTGATGCAGGCTGATGAGGGGGAGGCTGGGCAGGGACAGGCTCAAACAGCCTCCAGCAGGCCGCCCATGCTCCTGCTGCTGCTGCTGTCCTTGGGTGATGGTAGGAACATGGGGAGCACAGCCCGAAGGCACGGTTTTTCTCCTGTGATGTGACAGATGGCCAGAATGATGGCCCACCCAATGCTGATGAGGCCTCCTCCCCTTGCCAGGCCACCGGGAGGGGTCCTGTAGGCCGGACTGTGGACTGTGCTCTGTGATTTGTCTTGGGGTAGCAGTGTTGGGATCCTGCACACATCCCAGTGCAGGGGAGAGTCTGGGGGTCTGAGGGCCTGGCTGTGTATCCCCTCTGCATCACAGTGACTTCTGTGACCTGGACTCTACTGAGTCTCATGAGAGGCTCTGCTGTGCACAGTGAGTGCAGGTGCGGATGCATGCTGAGTGGGGTATCAGTGACGGCCACTCAGGGTCATGCACACAGCGGGGGCTGGATCAGTGTAGGTCAAGGACGAGCATATCAACACCACGGGCCAAGTGGGATGAAGAACGGCCCTGCATTGGAACCCTGGGGTGGTTCTGAAGGAAAGGCTGCAGGACAGCACCCTCACTCTTTCCTGCCATCACCGTCTCTCCTCTCTCCCACTCTGGGATCTTCGAAGTGAAGTTCAAAGCCAAGTTTACTGAGAAAGACAGTCTCAGATGAGGAGAGAACACTGGGGCCCCCGTGCCCTGGAAGAGCTGCCCTTCCTCCATTCTCCCTGCTGCTGCCCCCTTCCCTCATACCTCCTATCCCCTGAGAACATTTCTTAGTAGGAAGCCAAAGAGGGAAGAATAAATAAACAGAAATAAGTGAGTTGCCTATTATGTGAGAAGCCATCTGCATCTGCTCAGAGCCCATGTGTGGAGGCACTGGGGGGATCTGGTCTGGGTGGGCCATCTCTGGGCGAGTGATTTGCCTTGGGTCTTTAGGGAGTGGGAGATAGGAGGGCCAGAGGAATGGAGGCACAGGCTCAAGCCGTGGGACATGGAGTGCTTCCTCTTTCTAGAACTCCAAGAACTTGCTTATGTCCAAAGCAGTGTCAGCCTGGAGATGTGGGCATGGATCTGCCTCCCGTGTGTGTGTGTGTGTGTGTGTGAGCATGTGGGCATGTGTGTTATTCAGAAGGTGTGTGATTGTGGTATTTTTCCCAACTGAGGAATTAGGGCTGTGTCATTCTGTGGTCCACAAAGGCAGTGACCCTCTCACATGACAAGCATGGCCAGAACTCCCTCTTGGCTCATCCTGTGGAGGGCTGGCTTCCCCTCCCAGTGGCCTGTGTAGGGCTGCTTGTGGGCTGAGAGGCTGGCCTCCTGGACTGACATGCTCCTGTATGTGTTCATTGGAGAAGGAGGGAGCAGGTGATTTGGAGCAGGTCAAAGCTGGCCTTTGTGTCTCTTCTTGTTAGTTCCTTCCTTGTATTGCCCCTTGTTTTTGTTTGCCTGCTTTTTGAAATGTGATCCCTTGTAACGGTGCCCTGGCCAGAGTATCCCCCTTTCCAGGCTCCTGTCTCTGTGGGGGCTATCCCAGCCCCTATTGCCAGCCCTGTCACTTGGAAGTTAATGTAGGATCTGAGGCAGCATTAAGTTGCTTCCTCATCTGCCAGCTCTCATTCCTGACAGTTATGAACAGTGCCAGTCCCAGGGTGCTGTGTGCATTCTGACAGCCCTTACAGTTGGGAACGGAATGGTGGGAGTGGATGCTCACAAGGACAGCACGAGCAAGTGAAGCCCTGAGACCCACCCTGCTCTAGGTCACCTGAGTCATCTGTGGTCCACTTGGTCTGTACCAGGGCTGTGCTGGCCGCTGGGCATCGCCAGTACTGCTGGGGACTCAGGAGTCATTAGCTTACCTCCTTATGGGCGTGGGGTGTCATGAAGAATGCAGGAGGGGGTAGGAGGCCTCTGGAACAGATGGTGCCTGCTGAGCATGAAGCATACGTAAGACGTAGCCGGCCCTGGTGGGGCAGAGAGTGAAATGATGTGCAGTCAAGGCAGAGAAGACAGTTCATGCAGGGGAAGAGATGTGAGGCATGGGACGTTCTGTGGGCCCTGCTGATGGAATAGAGGGAGGAGGCCACGTCCCACAGGGTTGATACTGGGGAGTCTGGGCCCCCGGCTCTTAGCAGGGGAGAGCCTCTGGGCTCTGGCTGCTTGCTGAAGGGAACTGTGTGCTCTGTCTGGGCTCTGGGAAGGTGGTGGAGGAGCCCCAAAGGAGGGTGGCTGGTTCTGGCTTCCTAACAGGGTGAAGACAGAAGCGGTGGTGGAGAGCAGGTGGGAAGCACACTGAGGGAGCCAAGAGGCTGCAGATGCCCTGGGCAGCAGGTTTCAGGAGGGCTCCCCTGGCCTGGTCATGCTCACTGTGGACACTGGTGAGGAGAGGGAGCGCACTGTGCAAGGAAGTGACCGAACAAGGATGCCCTTAGCCTTCCTCTAAGCCTCTCCCTTGCTCAGAAGTTACATTGATGAGGAATGAAGCTGGGGGCCTTCGATTCCACCAGCTTTGTGGTGTCTGTAGTCATCCAAACCTAGTTTACAGGCTCTTAAATGCATTCCTGCCCTTGGAATAGTAGATAGCACCCCTACCCCCACATCCCCATTTTAAAGATGAGGAAACTGAGAAGAGTTTGATGAGGCACTGAGCCAGAAAGTGGCAGAGAATCGGGTCTTCTGCACCCAGCTTCTGTGCCCTTAAGTACATACTGTACTACATAAGGTCCTCCTGGTTGGGGTGATGACTGTACCCCTGTTTTCTTAGCCAGGCCTATCCTGCCTGTGGGCCCACAGATTTCCATCTGAGACAGGGCCATGTGCAAATGGCAGCAGGTTTGGAGTCATAGATTTAGCTTTAGCCCCAGAGGACTCATGTTGGGCAAGACCCCTGGTCCTCCCCAGGTCTGTACCTTCCTGGATGAAGAGGAACCAGATGAGACCCCTGGTCCCCATTACCACAGCCAGCTATCTGTCCCTGTCCAGCCACTAGAGCAGCCAGGGGGTGGCATTGGACCTGGGAAGTACTTAGTGGCTTGCTTTGTTTTTGCAGTTGGTCTTGCTGCCGCAGGCTGTTGTCTTGCGTAACAGAAGCTTGTTCTTCCCGTGAACACCTGTGGGCTGCTGTGTTCCAGGACACAGGCTGAACATCACGGCGGAGAACGACTGTCCGCGGCTGCACTGCTCCCTCAGAGACTTGAGCTCCCTGCTGCAGGCTGCGGGCCGCCTGGCCAAGTACTTTATCGGGGATGTTTGCCGCGAGTTTCAAGGACGCCCTCATGGTTGTGGACAGGCAGGCTGGCAAGCTGTGGGACGGGGCCATTCCTTCTTCAGCTCTGGGGCACCTTGTGTGTGCCCCTTTCACAGTAACAGGAAAAGCAGCGTACAGTCAGAAACTGTTCTCAAAAGTGGCTTTGCACATTTTATCTCATTTCATCCTACAAGGTGCTTAAAAAGTTCCAGGAAAATGGAATAAAAAAATATGTTTTGGTATAAAAATTTTTGAAATGCATGCATACAGGGGTATTCAAAGAGTTCATGGAAAGTGCGTTATGAAAAACACAAAATTTCAAAAAACTTTAATTACCTTCATATTCTTTGAGATACAGATAGCTCCATTTTATCGTTGAGTAGGTTATGGTTCAGAGATGGCAAAGACCCTGCTCGGGTCCTGTAATTCACAAGAGGGCTCACCGGGATGGTAGGCAGCTTCCTGAGTCCGAATGCTGCACACTTCCCAAGCTACATCCAGAGTCTGCTTTCCTCCTCTTCCTGCGCGGGGCCCAGGGGCGCTGGTGTCCCCCGGGGATAGGCCCATTACCCGTGTTTACTGTCAGTCATCTTCACCTCATGTAGACAGTGAGGTGATGTAGGAGAGATCCAGAGTTATCATTTTTTTTTGACAGGCAGAGTGGACAGTGAGAGAGAGAGACAGAGAGAAAGGTCTTCCTTTGCCATTGGTTCACCCCCCAATGGCCGCCGCGGCCGGCGCACCACACTGATCCGAAGGCAGGAGCCAGGTGCTTATCCTGGTCTCCCATGTTAAAAAATATTTGTTTATACATTTGAAAGACAGAGTTACACAGAGAGAAAGGTCTTCCATCCACTGGTTCACTCCCCAGTTGGCCACAATGGCCGGAGCTGCGCCGATCTGAAGCCAGGAGCTTCTTTGAGGTCTCCTGTGTAGGTGCAGGCCATAGCAGAGCTGGATCAGAAGTGGAGCAGCTGGGTCTCAAACCCACATGGGATGCCAGTGCTTCAGGCCAGTGCCACAGTGCCAGCCCCTAGAGTTATCATTTGACGGGAGACACTTGCTGTTTGACCTTATTTGAATGAAGTGTCAGGAGCTGCGCCTTCTCCATAGCCCATGTGATCAGCAGGGTCTGCGCTGTCTGTGAGGCAGACCTAATATTAAGAGTGCTTTACCAGGGGTTTGCACCATGGCTCACTTGTTTAATCCTCCACCTGTAGCACTGGCATCCCATATGGGCACCAGGTTCTAGCCCTGGTTGCTCCTCTTCCAGTCCAGCTCTCTGCTGTGGCTCAGGAGGGCAGTGGAGGATGGCCCAAGTGCTTGAGTGCCTCCACCCGCATGGGAGACCAGGAGGAAGCACCCGGCTCCCGGTTTCGGATCGGAGCAGCTCTGGCTGTAGAGGCCATTTGGGGGGTGAACCAATGGAAGGAAGACCTCTCTCTTTCTCTCCCTCTCTCTCACTATTTAACTCTATCTGTTAAAAAAAAAAAGACTGTTTACCATAGAGGTACTAAAAGACATTTAGAAATCTGTCTTTAATGTCAAACAGGCTTTGAAGAGTTACACCAAATGCACATTTGTGTAACCCTAGTTAGCACCATGGTTTCCTAGAACTTCACATGAACCTTGGCTTTTATTAACTCTCACTTTGTTGATTGCAAGTGCCCTTTCTGACAGCTCTCCAACCCCAATCTGTGGTTTTTCTTTTTTTTTCTCCAAAGATGTATATATTTATTTGAAAGGCAGAGTGGCAGAGAGGAAGAGAGATCTTCCATTGCTGGTTCACTCCTCAAGTGGCTGCAACAGCTGGGGTTGGGCCAGGCCAAAGCCAGGAGCCCAGAAGCCTATTTGAGTCTTCCACATAGATGACAGGGGCCAAGCACTGCTGCTTTCTCAGATACATTAGCAGGGAGCTGGATTATAAGTGGAGCAGCTGGGACTTGAACCTGTGATCACATGGGATGTGAGTGTTGCAGGTGGAGCTTAACCTGCTGTGCTACCATGCTGGCCCCAACCTGTAATATTTCTATTTGGAGTAAAATCCTGCTTTCTCCTTTCAGAGAGGAGCATTTTTCAGAGTGTGGTCGCTTTTCAGAGGTGCCAACTTCCAGTTCTCTCTTTGTACCTGCACAGTCAGCGGGAGGGGAGGATTGGGCAGTTTGCCTCTAGCAAGTTCCCAAGTTGGTGGCTACATTCCCAGGTTTCCATAGGGGAAGCACAGAGATAATGTAGCCAGGTCTTGGGTTTTTTCCCCCTTTACTTAGGAAAGAGATGTCTGTCTCCAGCAAGAGGGGCTCTTCCAGTTTCCTGAACAGTGCTGGTTATATTGTACTGTATTTTTTGGCAACCAGTCAGCTCAACAACTTGATCCTAAGAGAATTGGACTTAAAAACACTTCAGTTTATTCTAGAAACATTTGTTTCTCCCTCTTCTAAAGTTTGATCATAAACATTTTCTTTTTAAGGTTTTTATTTATTTAGTTGAAGGTTAGAGTGACAGGGAGAAAGGGACACACACACAGACAAATCTTTCATCTATTGGTCCACTCCCCAAATGTGTACAGTATTCCAGGCTGAAGCCAGGAGCCAGGAACTCCATCCACATGCCCCACATGGGTGGCAGGGGCCCAAGCACTTGAACCACCACCTGCTGCCTTTGGGTTGCATTAATAGGAAGCCAGATTGAAAGTGGAATAGCTGGAACTTGAAGTAGGCACTCTGATACACAATACAGAGTCTCAAGTGGCATCTTTTTTTTTTTTTTGAAGCTTTTTCCTTATTTGTTTGAGATGTACAGTTACAGACAATTAGAGGGAGAGACAGAGAGAAAGGTCTTCCTTCCATTGGCTCACTCCCCAGGTGGCCACAATGGCCAGAGCTGTGCTGATCTGAAGCCAGAAGCCAGGTGCTTCTTCCCAGACTCCCATGTGGGTGCAGGGGCCCAAGCACTTGGGCCATCTTCTGCTTTCTCAGGCCACAGCAGAGAGCTGGATTGGAAGAGGAGCAGCCAGGACTGGAACCGGTGCCCATATGGGATGCCGGCATTACAGGCAGAGGATTAACCTACTGCACCATGGAACCAGCCCCTCAAGCGGCATCTTAACCTGCTGTGCCACAGCACCCACTCCAGAGTTCTCAAATCTTCAGAAAAGTCCAAAGTATTATACAAGGAATACCCAACACCAAACAAGGATACTTCAAAAACTTCATGGAAAGTTAAATGAAAAGTATGAGTTTATTTTGGTGCAAAAGCAACTTTGAATTCTTGCATAGTTGTTTTCATCATATGCATTTCCCATGTTTGTTGAAAAAAACTTTTTGTGCCAAAACAAACTCATACTTTTAATTCCATTTATCCACATACTTAACTGAAGTATTCTCATATTCTGCAATGCACATTTTCTTTCTTATGTATCTGTCTACTTGAAACATTTCCTTTTAAAAATGATCTTTAAATGAAAGCTAAGATGGTTTTATCATTATATGTATTTATAGAAAGATCCATGTCAGCCTATTTAGATAAACCATCCAAAGAGCATATCTGCTTTTTAAAAACATTTTTTTATTCTTGTTTTGTGTTCATTGTAGATGACTTGGAAATAAAGGGCAGTAGAGGAAAAAGGTCATCCATCATCTACCTCTTCCATCCCATCCCCAGAGCAAATGGCACCAATGAGCCTGTTCCGGTGAAAATTCTTCCAGTCTTTCTTCCGTTAGGAGAAGACCCTTAAAAAGCAAAGTTAGGGGGCTGGTGCATTGGTGTAGTGGGTAAAGCTGCTGCCTGCAGTGCTGGCATCCCATATGAGTGCCAGTTAGAGACCAGGCTGCTCCACTTCCAAACCAGCTCTCTGCTATGGCCTGGGAAAGCAGTAGAAAATGGCCCAAGCCCTTGGGTCCCTGCACCCACGTGGGAGACCTGGAGGAAGCTTCTGGCTCCTGGCTTTGGATTGGTGCGGCTCTGACTGTTGTGGCCAGTTGGGCTGTGAACCAGCGGATGGAAGACCCCCCTGCCGCCTCTCTTTTCTCTCTGTGTGTAACTCTGACTTTCAAATAAATAAATCTTTTAAAAAAACCTAAGTTAGAATATGCCCTGTGTATATTTTGTTACAGCATTTTCATGTTTCAAAGACCTCGATATTTGTTATTAAATATTCAAGTATCATTTTATTGCATATATTAATTGCATTCTCTGGATATTTATATTGTTTTGGAAATTTCTGTAAGTACTGCTTAGTGTAAGTGTCCTTGTCTGTCAGTCTTCATACACATCTCAGATTATTTTCAGGATATAATTGAGGTCTGATCTTGATTCCTTTTTGTATGAGGGAAAAGCTGTCCTTGGGACCTTTCTGTTGGTATCTTGTCCACTTTGTCTGCTACAGGCCATAAGCTGAATATTTGTCTTGCCTATTTCTTTGCCAACAGGTTGGTTAAAGTCACTCTGTATGGACCTCAGATCAAATAGTGCAACACTGAAACTGCCGTGCCACCAGTATTGAAACCAGACCTCGTTGACATGCAAGTATAAAGTTGGATGTTTGCCCGTTCTCCGGAGAGACCTTACCTACCCTCTCTCACAGGGACAGTAGCAGCTGCTGTGAAGGGGAACACTCCCAGACAGAGAACGATGGTTGTGCTCTGTGTCTTGGGCAAAGGTGACTGGGATTTGTCAGGCAGAAGAGAGCTGGGGTAGATTGTATGGAGCAGAGCTTGTGGGAGCAGAGACTGTCCAAGCTGAGACAGGGCCTGCGGCTGGGAGGTGGTAAGCACGTGGTGTGGTGGGAACCGAAGCAGGATCAGTGCATGGGGAATGGTGTGGAAACACCTGTGTGCTGTGAGTCTCAGGCAAGAGACTGAAACTGTGGTATGTGGAAAAGACAGTTTCACACTCACAGGTGTGTGTGTGTGTGTGTGTCTAGCAGGCAAGCAGTTAATTCTGTAGTGGACACCAGCTGGTGTTCTCTCAGTTCTGTTCTTCAGGTTCCATAAATTAAGGGATCCATTGGCAAGACTGCCCTCCCATGCTTCTCCACCAGTCACAAACCCCAGGTTATCTGAGCTTCTAACCAGCTGGTTATAAATTGGGGTTCCCACAGCCCCCTCCTCAGGGTCAATTAATTTGCTAGAGAGGCTCACAGAACTCAGGGAAGCACTTACTTGTGTTTACTGCTGTCTTATAAAGGTTGTTACAGAGGGTACCAGCAGGCAGCAAGTGGAAAGGGCAAGGTGTGAAAGAAGGGGTCTTCCTCCCCACTCCCCCAGGATCCTCTGCAGTTGGGTGAAATACCCATGGGTTCTTGTCTCCTGTGTTTGCCAATGGAAGTGTGAAGGCAATGACTATTTATTTATTTATTTATTTAAAAGACTCATTTACTTGAAAGGCAGAGTTACAGAGAGACAGAGGCAAAGAGGGAGAAAGAGAGGTCTTCTACCCACTGGTTCACTCCCCAAATGGATGCAACGGCCAGAGGTGGGCCGATCCAAAGCCAGGAGCTTCTTCCGGGTCTCCCACGTGAGTGCAGGGGCCCAAGGACTTGGGCCATCCTCCATTGCTTTCCCAGGCCACAGCAGAGAACTGGTTCAGAAGTGGAGCAGCCGGGACTTGAACCGGCACCCATATGGGATGCTGGCACTGCAGGAGGCAGCTTTACCCTCTACGCCACAGCACTGGCCCCAGAAGGCACTCATTTAAGTAGAAATGGGTTTCTTGGGCTGTGCAAGACAGAGCAAGGTTGTTTCATGACTGAAAACCAGGCTTCCAGGTAAGGCATAGTCCTCACACATTTTCTCGTTCAGGGAAGTCATACAGATTCATTGAATTTCCAAGACATTCTGGGAATGTCACTGAGCCCACCTGCAGGGGCATCTGGTTGATTGTAATGAGATTAAAATAGGGCTGTGTGGTTTTGGGGGAAGGGTTATCCGGAAGTTTGCTGAAACAAGGTCTTTGGGTTTGTGTAGAAGCTGCATATGTAAGCCTGCTGGAGAGGTAGGGCTGGAGGGTCCAACCCTCTGGTCTTAAGGCTGGTTCTCCTGGACGAGTTCCCATCCTGTGGTTACTGGGGGCTTCCCCAGAAATGCTTCATGTTCACATGGGCTCTGGAGGTGTGCCTGAAAGGGCCTGCTGTAAGTAATGGAGACCATCTCTGTGCCACCTTGGAAACTTGGCTGGACCTAAGGACTAAAGGCCAACATTTTAACAGAAGAGATGTATGTATCTTAAAGCATTTTATTGAAATACAGTACAAAAATATTTTTATTGCCCTGATTTTTTTAAGATTTATTTTATTCTGGGGCTGGTGCTGTGGCATAATGAGTAAAGCTGTCACTTTGCAGTGCTGGCATCCTATATGGGTGCTGGTTTGAATCCTGGCTGCTCCGCTTCTGATCCAGCTCTCTGCTATGGCCTGGAAAAACCATTAAAGATGGCCCAAGTCTTTGGGCCCCTGCACCCGCATGGGAGACCCAGAAGAAATTCCAGGCTCCTGCCTTCAGAGCAGCCCACTCTTCTATTCTCTGGTTCATTCCCCAAATGGCTGTAACAGCCGGGGCTGGGGCAGGCTGAAGCCAGAAGCTAGGAGCTTCTTTTGGGTCTCCCATGTGGGTGCAAGGGTCCAAGTACTTGGGCCATCTTTCACTGATTCCCCAGGGGCATTAGCAGTGAGCTGGAATGGAAGTGGAGCAGCTGGGACCAGTGCTCATGGGATACTAGCACTGCAGATGGCAGCTTAGCCTGCTGTGCCACAGCACCAGTCCCACAAAGATAGCTTTAAAAGAAAAAAAAAGAATTGTAGACATATCACCTTGTCCATAAATCCTTGAGTGTATGTGCATATACCCTAGGAATAATATAATTCTCCTATGTGACCATTATACCATAATCAACATTCAAAAAAATGTAATGGATGCCATAATATTATGTACTGTATGGAGTATAGTCTGAGCTCAGTTTTCCCCAGTGTTACCAGGAATATCTTCCTATCTTTTTTAATCCAAACTTTACTAATGAAGCACACATGAAGCATGTCGCCGGTAACCTTGAGCAGTTTCCCATCTGTGCATGTGTGTGCACATGTAGGAGAGAAGACTAATGACTGACCTTGTAGAGAGTCAGACCTACAAAATTGTTTTTAAGGAGCATTCTGTAGCCTGGGTTTGTCCAGTGTCCACTGTGTTAGATGAAGTTAAACATTGTTACTAGATAGTTGCTGGTGTCTCTCATCCTAGCAGGAGGTGCCTAATGTGGATTTGCCATGTAGTTGTTGGTGCTGAGTTTGGTTTTACAGTGGTGTCGCCTGTGTCCCAGCTCCGAGGCAGTCTGCAACAGTGCTGCCCCGGGCCTGGCCTCGTACTTGACTCACAGGCTCCCCTGGAAGGAGAAAGGTGCCCAGTCTGCAGCAGGAGTTCCTGGGAATGTGTTGAGTCAGGAAGGAAGGAAATGCCCAGCCATGAGAAAAGAACACTTGGAAGGGTTTAGCAGGATAATAGTGGGTTACGCTGTGGTCAGTGAAAAGAATCCGGCATCCATAGTGGGTTAGCAGAAAATGCGGGGAAGGGAGGCTCTTCTTAGGGGAATGCCAGCCAGGGAAGAGAAGAGGAAAGTCGGAGAAAGACCGGTTGCAGCCCCCAGAGTAGCAGTGGTGGAGGCAGGGATCTGGAGCCAGACAGCAGGAACAGTATATTACATCGTCTCAGAGTGCCCCCCAGTGGCCTCACTGCTGTAACTGCAAGGGAGTAATTCCATTGTAGGTGGGTTGGAAACTCTGAGACAGCTCTTCTCTTTGTTACAGACCTGTTTGTTGTCTCTGATGAACAGTGAGTCTTCTTAATATCTGTCTTAGTGTAGTGCACGGATCACAGAAGTTAGCCTGCGCCTCAGTTATCGTCCAACCAGATAGAACATATGGCATGATGGAAGTTCAAGTTTAAGAATCTTTTTTTTTTTTAAAGATTTATTTATTTATTTGAGAAGTAGAGTTACAGACCAAGAGAGCTTAGGGTGACAGAGTTCAGAGTCGCAGAGACGGTGAAGGAGCTGGAGGAAGGGACCCTGGCTCGGGGCAGAAGCTTCAGGCCTGAAGTCATCCCAGGAATCGTCACAAAGTCTGGCCTGGGTGAAATGATTGGCAGCTGGGAGCCAGGTTCAGCTCATGGCTGCCTCCGTGTAGTTCTGCCAGTCCCTGTCTCCCAAGGGTGGGGCTGAGCTGACACGCCCTCTTCGCTTTCCAGGTCCAGGACAAGTTGGTGCTGTCTGCGTGCCACCTACTGGTCTCACTGGCCACCACTGTGCGGCCTGTCTTTCTGATCAGCATCCCTGCAGTGCAGAAAGTGTTCAACAGAATCACCGCTGCCTCTGCCCAGCGGCTGGTCGATAAGGTGAGGTCCGGGCTCCCCAGCTGCAGGAAAGCAGAGGAAGGAGAGTGTGGCCTCTTTGCACTCAGCGGGCAGCTCGTGCCCACAGAGTTCTTACCTGGGCGGCACTGGCAGGTGGTCCTCAGAGATCCTCGCAGCACCCTTTCCAGTGTAGTCAGGGTGCAGGCCCCGTAGGGGGTGAGAAGGCGCCCTTGACAGGCAGATGGCTTTCGCTGCCTCGACACCTGGTAATTTGCTCTGTGGTCTGAGGGTTCTCTATGGTTTTTTGGTCCAAACCAGTCTAGGTTTTGTTGTTCCTGTGTGTGTGGTTTTTGAAAAGCTTCAGGCAGTGTCTTAGACCCCTTCTAGGAGGTTCAGGTTCGAATGAACAGAGAGGAGTGGAATAGGAGGGGAGCGCCGGGGTGGGAGTGCTTTGCTTTCCTTGCACTGCGGCTCTGTGGGTGGGGAGAGATGCCAGCCGGCTCTGCTCTCAGCAGCTTCTGAGAGTGTGGGCAACCAGCTGCTGAGGGGCTGCTCCCCTGTAGAGCTTCCAGTGCCAGATGAGACGGGAAGGAAGAGGGCCAGGACTGACTGTTGAACCTGGCACTGGGGTGCCCTAGTCCAAGACTTGGTCTTACTGCTGGATTTCTCTGTCCTCGCTGGCTTGCCTTAGAGTTGGACCACAGAGCTGCCGGAGTCCCCGGCTGGGGCTCTGGGCACAGAGTGTGCAGTGGTCACCGGCGGCCGGGCTTGCTGTTGTTCTTTGACCTCCGATGGATGCCTTTGGGGTCTCTTTTAGGCACAGGTGTTGGTGTGCCGAGCCCTCTCTAACATCTTTTTTTTTTTTTTTTTGACAGGCGGAGTGGACAATGAGAGAGAGAGAGAGAGAGAGAAAGGTCTTCCTTTTTGCCGTTGGTTCACCCTCCAATGGCCGCCGCGGCTGGCGCAACGTGCTGATCCGATGGCAGGAGCCAGGTACTTATCCTGGTCTCCCATGGGGTGCAGGGCCCAAGCACTTGGGCCATCCTCCACTGCACTCCCTGGCCACAGCAGAGAGCTGGCCTTGGAAGAGGGGCAACCAGGACAGAATCCGGCGCCCCGACCGGGACTAGAACGCGGTGTGCTGGCGCCGCAAGGTGGAGGATTAGCCTAGTGAGCCGCGGCGCCGGCCCCTCTCTAACATCTTACTGCTTCCGTGGCTGAACCTTCCAGAGAATGAGCAGCAGTGGCCTGTGTGCTCCATCAACCACCCCAGCCTCATCTCCGCGCTCTCCCGGGACTATCGCGACCTGAAACCCAGTGACGTCACTCCACAGAGAAAGGTGCCACTGGATGACAGTAAGTGACTGTTGACCCATTTCTGATACTTGTAAAAACAAACAAAGCAATTCACCTCTACACACTGGGAAAAAGAATTACTGTCTTTCAAGATTGGCTCTGATCTTTTTCCAAATAATTCAGAGGTTTTGAAAGCGCCTGGGATCTTTACACACAGCACCTGAAGTTTGATTGTTTATATTAAAGAGGGGGGGAAAAAGAACCAGAACTCTTGTTCAAGTATGTGGTGTCAGGTTTTCTGGAAAGTCTTCCTGAAATAGCAGATAGTAAAACATGTTTGCAAAAATACAGTTTGTTTTCACAGTAAGAAAAGGTTGAAATATTTTTAGATGATGTCATTTGTAGAATGCTTCATGAGGGAGCGGAGCCAAGATGGCGGAATAGTGAGGGCGCGCACCGATAGTCCGGGAAAATTTAGTTTAATAAAAGGGGAGTTACGGTAGCCTCAGAAAAAAGAACCAGGAAAATATTGCAGACAAAACTCTTCTGGATCCAGTGGGCGTGAATCGGAGGACCTACTGGGAGAACAAGGTCGCCCACCGCGCGCGAAAGCCGAACCGCAGGACCGAGCCGCGGGACTGAGCCGCGGAAGCCAAGCCGCGGGACTGAGCTGCGCAAGCTGCAGGGTCTGCGCGCAAGTGCTCGAAGGGGAGTGCAACAGCGGGGAGACTTGGGAAGTCCAGGGCTCCGAGTCCACACATCGGCGCTGGAAGGGGAGCAGACCTGCGTGGAGAGCGTGGGAGCCCACAGTTCGGGACATCAGCGGCAGACTCAACACACCAGCGCTGGAACGCGAGGTGAGCCGAACCTCAATAACCCGAGACACCGGCAGGCAAGCAGAGAGAGGAGACTAGAGGGAACGACCCCCGGGGCGGGGGGGACTTCACCAAGCTAACTGGAAGAGAGAGAGAGGGAAAAAAAAAAAAAGGTGACTGGTATGGACACGGGTTTCTCTCTCTCCGCTCACCTCTCAAGGGCGAGCAAGACAAAGAGCAGGCGCCATCTTGGACATACGTCATAAGCAGAGCGACCTCAGGTCTGCACCGGCCCTGAGCCTAGCAGTAAAACCTGACTCTGGGTGGGGCGAATTAACAGGAGATTAGGACTTAGTAAATTTATGGTGCTACTGAACTGAGACTGTGAAAAAAGAGACGGTGGGGGAGAGAACTCACGGAATTCACGTGAGCACTCTCCAGAGACGCTACAATTCCGTAACTTTGGCAACCCAGTGGGAGACTGAAGGAGAATTTGAGCCCACTCTAAGGGCCGAACAGATTCCCTGTGTGGTCCTTGGGAAAGAGCTTCTGATCTCTGGCTCCTGTGGGTATATCATTTGCCTGCTAACTACCTCCAACTTTGTTCAGCTGTGCAGAATAACTTCCCTGTTGAATCAAAAAAGAGAGAGAGAGAGAGAGAGAGAGAGAGAGAGAGAGAGAGAGAGAGGTTTACCACGCCTAACCTGGGAGTGTCACCTTTGGCACACCAAACAGAGCTCTCAGGCCACACCCATCTCAAGCCCTAAGGCTCCATCAAAAACAGATAGTCCACTTAATCTAGAGTCATAGTATAACAAGAAAAAGCACCACAGTGAAGAAACCAAATATCTCCAATATGACAAATAACAAACGCAAAAACCAAGGTAATAAAAACAAGGAAGTCACCATGAAGCCCTCAAATGAAAAAGACACCCCAATTCAAGATTATGAGGATGATGACATAGAAGAGATGCAAGAAGCAGATCTCAAAAAATTGATAAGAACATTAAGAAGTTCTCAAAAACAAATTCTTGAACTACAGAAATCCTTAATGGACAAGATAGAAAATCTCTCTCGTGAAAATGAAATATTAAGGAGGAATCAAAATGAAACAAAACAACTAGTACAACAGGAAACTGGGATAGTGACTGAAGTGAAGAATTCAATAGATCAAATGAAAAACACAATAGAGAGCCTTACAAACAGAATGGGAGAAGCAGAAGAGAGAATATCGGACTTAGAAGACAGAGAACAGGAAAGGATACAGTCAGACCAAAGAAAAGAAGAGGAAATTAGGAATCTAAAACATATTGTCGGGAATCTTCAGGATACTATTAAAAAACCCAACATTCGGGTTCTAGGAGTTCCTGAAGGCATGGAGAGGGAGAAAGGATTAGAAGGCCTTTTTAGTGAGATATTAGCAGAAAATTTCCCAGGTTTGGAGAAGGACAGAGAAATCCTAGTACAGGAAGCTCACAGAACCCCTAATAAACACGACCAAAAGAGACCCTCACCACGGCACGTTGTAATTAAACTCTCCACAGTGAAACATAAAGAAAAGATCCTAAAATGTGCAAGAGAGAAACGTCAGATTACTCTCAGAGGATCTCCAATCAGACTCACAGCTGACTTCTCATCAGAAACTCTACAAGCTAGGAGGGAATGGCAAGATATAGCCCAGGTACTAAGAGAGAACAACTGCCAGCCCAGAATATTATATCCTGCAAAGCTATCATTTGTGAATGAAGGTGAAATAAAGACTTTTCATAACAAACAGAAATTGAAAGAATTTGTTGCCACTCGTCCAGCCCTGCAAAAGATGCTTAAAGATGTGTTACACACAGAAACAAAGAAACACGGTCATCAATATGAAAGAAGGTAAAGGAAGGAAACCAAGGAAGGAAAGCTCACAGCAAAAGATCACAGGGAATTCAAAGCATATATTAGAACTTATCTTTGGCAAATGGCAGGGCAAAGTTACCACTTATCATTAGTCACATTGAACGTGAATGGCCTGAACTGTCCAGTTAAAAGACACCGTTTGGCTGATTGGGTTAAAAAACAAAACCCATCTATTTGCTGCTTACAAGAAACACATCTTTCCAACAAAGATCCATACAGACTGAAAGTGAAAGGCTGGAAAAAGATATACCATGCCAACAGAAATGAAAAAAGAGCAGGCGTAGCCATCTTAATATCAGACACCATAAACTTTACCACAAAAACCATTAAGAGAGACAAAGAGGGACACTACATAATGATTAAGGGATCAATTCAACAGGAAGATATAACAATTATCAATGTATATGCACCTAACTACAGGGCACCGGTTTATCTAAAAGATTTGTTAACGGACTTAAAGGGAGACTTAGACCCCAATACAATAGTACTGGGGGACTTCAATACTCCACTCTCAGAAATAGACAGATCAATAGGACAGAAGATCAACAAGGATACAGTAGATTTAAACGACACTATAGCCCAAATGGATCTAAAAGATATATACAGAACTTTCAATCCTACAGCTAAAGATTATACATTCTTCTCAGCAGTACATGGAACCTTCTCTAGGATTGACCACATACTAGGCCATAAAGCAAGTCTCAGCAAATTCAAAAGAATTAGAATCATACCATGCAGCTTCTCAGACCATAAAGGAATGAAGTTGGAAATGAACAACTCAGGAATCCCTAGAGCATACGCAAACACATGGAGATTGAACAACATGCTCCTGAATGAACAATGGGTCATAGAAGAAATCAAAAGAGAAATCAAAAACTTTCTGGAAGTAAATGAGGATAACAGCACAACATACCAAAACTTATGGGACGCAGCAAAAGCAGTGTTAAGAGGAAAGTTTATATCAATAGGTGCCTACATCAAGAAATTGGAAAGGCACCAAATAGATGAGCTTTCTATTCACCTCAAGGATCTAGAAAACCTACAGCAAACCAGACCCAAATCTAGTAGGAGAAGAGAAATAATTAAAATCAGAGAAGAAATCAACAGGATTGAATCAAGAAAAACATTACAAAAAATCAGCCAAACGAGGAGCTGGTTTTTTGAAAAAATAAACAAAATTGACACCCCATTGGCCCAACTAACTAAAAAAAGAAGAGAAAAGACCCAAATCAATAAAATCAGAGATGAAAAAGGAAATGTAACAACAGACACCACAGAAATAAAAAGAATCATCAGAAATTACTACAAGGACTTGTATGCCAGCAAACAGGGAAACCTATCAGAAATGGATAGATTCCTGGACACATGCAACCTACCTAAATTGAACCAGGAAGACATCGAAAACCTAAACAGACCCATAACTGAGACAGAAATTGAAACAGTAATAAAGGCCCTCCCAACAAAGAAAAGCCCAGGACCAGATGGATTCACTGCTGAATTCTACCAGACATTTAAAGAAGAACTAACTCCAATTCTTCTCAAACTATTCAGAACAATTGAAGAAGAGGGAATCCTCCCAAATTCTTTCTATGAAGCCAGCATCACCTTAATTCCTAAGCCGGGAAAAGATGCAGCACTGAAAGAGAATTACAGACCAATATCCCTGATGAACATAGATGCAAAAATCCTCAATAAAATTCTCGCCAATAGAATGCAACAACACATCAGAAAGATCATCCACCCAGACCAAGTGGGATTTATCCCTGGTATGCAGGGATGGTTTAATGTGCGCAAGACAATCAATGTGATACACCACATTAACAGACTGCAGAAGAAAAACCATATGATTCTCTCAATAGATGCCGAGAAAGCATTTGATAAAATACAACACCCGTTCATGATGAAAACTCTAAGCAAACTGGGTTTGGAAGGAACATTCCTCAATACAATCAAAGCAATCTATGAAAAACCCACAGCCAACATCCTATTGAATGGGGAAAAGTTGGAAGCATTTCCACTGAGATCTGGGACCAGACAGGGATGTCCACTCTCACCACTGCTATTCAATATAGTTCTGGAGGTTCTAGCCAGAGCTATTAGGCAAGAAAAAGAAATTAAAGGGATACAAATTGGGAAGGAAGAACTCAAACTATCCCTCTTTGCAGATGACATGATTCTTTATTTAGGGGACCCAAAGAACTCTACCAAGAGACTATTGGAACTCATAGAAGAGTTTGGCAAAGTAGCAGGGTATAAAATCAATGCACAAAAATCAACAGCCTTTGTATACACAGACAATGCCATGGCTGAGGAAGAACTTCTAAGATCAATCCCATTCACAAT